TTTCTGAAGATGCTGGAAAGTAAGGTGCGTTCCTCCTCCTTCAACGGAGCTACAAGGAGTTCAAAATGATCCCTATAGTCCGCAACGGTCCCTTCCTGCTTCAACCTCAATAATGGGCCCATCGAATCAATAAATGCACCCGGGTTAAACCGCCGCAGCACCGCGACTTTGAATTCCGGTCATGTTCTCTCCCCCGTCTGCTCTTCCCACCATTGGAACCAATTAAAGGCTCTTTCCTCCATTGTGATCACCACTGCGTCGAGTTTTTCCTCCTCCTGGAGCTCGTTGACCCGGAAATATCTCTCGACCCGGACTAGCCAACCATGCACATCGTCTCCATTAAACACTGGAATCTCTAGCTTGCGACCTCGTGTTCGCCCTTGATGATCGTACCCTCCGGATTTCCCCTGCGGTGAAGTTATTCCACTTCCGCCGGGTGAGAACTCCCCTTCGTCCTCTCTCGCACCACTCTTCCTCTTCGCGAAGTCTCTGAACTCTGCGTGAAAAGATTCCATGCTCTCAAGGATCTGCTTCACTGATCCTTCTAAGTTTCCCACGCGTAGTTCCATATTGTCCATGCTGTGCTCCATCGCGCCTCTGGTCGCGACCATCCACTCGCAGAATCACACTCTCTGATACCAAATTGATAGGAATCTATCAATAGTAGGTATATAATAACAACAGTTTTGCTTCGTATTGATAGTATTGAAAGAAAACAGTCTGAAACCAGAATGATCCAACGTAATTACAAGGTATGAAACTGAGAAAACAGGAATGAAATCATAAAAGGGTTTTTTAGAGTCCTCACTCTCCTATGGACAAGCCAAATTCCAGTCTGCCCAACTCCAATAGGCTATCCCCACTATATTCCCCTCTGCGCCCACTCTCACTGCACGCACACATGTCCTTGCACGTTCCCAGGTGGCCAGGAGTTAGTTATTAGAAGCGTAATCCCCTATAACCGGCCCTACCATATTTCTTTTTTTCTTCCTGATATATACTTTGCCAAATTTACCCCCCTTTAATGTATCATATACTGACCCGCACCTGTATTGGATCAGATTAGTTTTTTTAAAATATCTTTTTTCTTTAAAAAAAATTGAGTTGGCTATCTTTTAACTTTTTTTTATCGTAAAAGGCGCTTATATCATTAAAATAGCAATCAACAGGAGTACCAGAATGTGAAAGGACCACATGTAACCATCTTTTAACTTTTTTGAAACACACAAACTTGCCTCTATAAATATTCAAATAAGATTATATCAAAGTTAATTCTTGATATTTCTTAAATACTAATGACTTATAAATACTCATTTCATTGTTGCCGCCATAGATGTCACCCTGACAATCTGGAAAGAAATCAGATGACTTTTACTGGCGAAATTTTCCGACGAGTTATAAAAAACTGAAAAGTTCTGGTGAAATTTTGTAACGATTTTTCAGGCAGCCGGCAGCCGGCAACCGGCGGTTTCTAAGCGATTATTGCTAGAAGAGACGGTGGGACAAGGGTGGGGTAGGGGGCAGGGCTGCAGGGGTGGTGGGTAGTTGGGTAACAATTATAATTAAAAGAAACTTATTAAACAAATATTAGTCACTTTGTTGAAAACATAAAAACTAGTCATATTTTTGTCTTCCAAAAGTGTAGAGGTGATATTTTTGCCATTTTTCGTTAAAAGAATTAATGACATATTGTTAAGACTTGGAGTTCATATCCGGTGTGGGACAACACCCTCCTCACGACCAGACACTTTGTCTGGATCGTGTCGTCATTCATTTTTCATCGATTCGTCATTGTCATTTTTAAATCGTGTCATCATTTTTCATAAGGGGCCCACACCATGGATCGATTTGGCTCTGATATCATGTTAAGACCTGGGCTTCCATCTTAAAAGGTCACCTTGATATGAGGAGTAGCTCACATCTTAATATAGTGTTTAATTGTTTAAGAGATATCTGGTGTGAGACAACAACACATATACTCCGTATAACTAAATAAAGTTAATAGCCAAAAATGTGACTTCTTAAGTGTACTAATTATAAGAATAACATTTAACAACCGTTTTTATGTTCAATTTTTACACTTAAGTGACCATAGTGTTTTTTATAGTAACTTTAGTCATACTTTTGTCAATAAGTTGATATAGAGGTGTCATGGCATGCCCTGCTAATTGATGTGGTAGAGGCTGCGGCGGCCCAAACATTTGTCCATGTGCCATGCCTATCTTCTAGATGAGCTAAAGCTGGAGTACGTACATCGATGCATGCATGAAGACTAATAAGTTAAATGCGTACGAAATTTAAGTGTGATTAATGTATCCATGCATCATGACAACACTAGTCAACTGCCTACTTAATTTATACGTAAGATGTTTTTACGTGGATTGTTTTCAGTCCCAGACCAGATGAGATCAAACCAGACCCAGACTTGGACAGTTATAAAATACACAGAGACCAGACATTTACCAGACCAGACATTTACCAGACCAGATATGATGTCCCTACGTCTGTCTCGGCTCCTCATTTCTCTAGTATGCATATAGTATATAAAGATATTGTCCTAAATAGGAGTAAAACAATAAGGAAGTTCCAAAATAGGAGTTCTTATTGATTTATTCCCTAAATAGGAGCTTTTAGTTGACTATCCATTTCTTTTTCTGAATTTATCCTCCCTAAATTTAATAATTTTATCTTCCTTCATGAGCTGTCACGCACGGCCGCACGGGTCTCTCCTTACCCATCTCTTCCTTCCATCCCTCATATGTCATCTCATTTTTCCTTCACCTGCATATCTACAAAAGTTGCTCTTTCCCACGGATTTCAAAGGCGGAGGCAATACTCCCCATCTCCGGCGGCCAACTTTTCTCTCTCGATCTCTTCCGCTAGTCAAAGATTTCTCTTCTGCACTGTCAGGCCTGCCATAACTCCGGCGATATACCGGTCTTCTCCGGAAAGTATCCACCTCCCCCATCCTCTTCTCCCTCATCCTTGGCTCCTTGCTCCTCTGTTTTCTTCTATTGTTTTTTTTGCTATTTTCTATTGTGTCATATGTTTAATTTTGAGATTCAAACTGAAAATTGCTATTCTAGATCAGTAATTTTTGGATTGAAAATTGTGAGTCTCCAGCGATCACTTGCATGGAAATTTTGGATCTTATTTTTTTAATTATTTCAGTTTATCTGTTTAAAAAATTTGACATAACTAATTTCTTATAATACCATTTTAAGATGGTAAAAAATGCCATGTTTTTGGTAATCAATGTCATCACAAAGTTATCGTGTTTTTGACAATTAGTGCCATGACAATATGCTATTAATAAGTCCTTAATATGGCACTTTGACTCAACTTTTGTGTTTCTGAAAGCATTGCATTGAGATGGGATTTCGATGTAGTTGTTTTCCCAGAACATAGATCTACATCAATCTCGCCGAAGGAGGCGGTGGTGCCAAAAGTCACGGCTTTCGCGTTGTATGAGGAGGTGGTGCAAAATGAGGATAGCGCCGCAACTCGATAAGGCGGCGGCGATGATGGAAATGGTAGTGTCGGTGATTGGTGGCGTCGGTGATTGGCGGCATCGGTGGTGACCGACGGCGATGGCTGGTGCAGGCAGTGGGTAGTGTCGACATCGGCTTTTCGCGGTGGTCGTACGTGAGCAAAGCAATCCATTATTGTATATTTGTATACAGGTAGCTTTTATTTTATTATTATTCTATTTTATATTTTTAAGAAATCAATTGGGTTTTCATTAAGGGTATTTTTGTCAACTCATGTATTTTTACTCCTATGAAACTACACGGAACTTTGGACTCCTAGTTTTGCACTTTTGTTATGTTTTGCTCCTAGTTGGGGAATTTACTCTAATATATATATGGATATTATATAATACCTCCGTCCCTTAAAACTTTGTTATCTTTAACTTTTCGAGTCAATGGTGATAAAGTTTGAACCGTTATTTTGGTTTGTATAATACAAATATTTTTTTTTTACAGAGACAGAGGGAGTATTATGAAAGATATACTCCATATATTTTATACTTTCAAGAACGTATTTGTAACAAAAAACATTTCCACACCATTTTTATATTATAAACAATTTCCTACAAAAATATATAATTAGTCAAAAGTTGAACATGATTGACCAAAAAATTCGAAAATGACGAAGTTCTAAGGCTGGGAGTATATAATTGTCTGCTGGAGAACATCCATTTCTCTAGAGAGACCAACAAACAAAGGCATAACCGGAAGATGAGGCAATTCAATCCACGGCCAGTACTTTTCCGCTGGAAGTTTAATCGGACCTGGCCTTTCCTAGTTGGATTCGTGTTGTACCACCAAGCTCACTGAGGAGGACGCTAAGAACTCCAAATTTGCCCAGCGGCATAAGAAGTGGTTTTATTTGTTCTCAAAATGTATCGGACGAAATAGATATCATAAAGCATCCCATAGTTTTTGTGAATTGCAGTTTGGTTATTGACAAATTTATGAAGTGTTAGTTTAATAAGATGCTACATCAAAAAATACTTTTTTATCAATCTTTAACTTTTTCACTTTAATTACTACTATTCTAAAACAGTACCAACTTTTATTAATAAGCATTTTCTCTAAAATCACTTAAAAATCATTTTTAAGTAGAAGCAAAAGCAAATACTCCCTACGTTACATTTACATTACATCCTACCAACTACAGATCCGTTTAAAATACTTGTTTGCTGAGGCAAATGTTTTCCCTCACCCCGAAAAAATTAAGCTAAAAAGTGGTACATCTACCCAAAGGGTTCGATTAAATTGAAAATTACTACCCAGCCGTTGATTAATTGGATTTTCAGTAAACCGGGCTTTTCATACTCATAAAGATTATTTACAGAGCACGAAATTGGTTTTAGATAAGGAAAGTTTGGCTAATGGATCTTTTTCATCAACTTTAACAAAATCGGGGCTCATATAAAAATATGTCAAAACCTGATAGAATATGGTATACGTAATTAGCCTAAAAATGTAACTCACCTCCTTTAACACTGCGGAAGTCATAATCCTCACAATCAGACTCCAAATACAGCTGGGAATCAAAAAATGCTTCTTCCTTGCTGCCTGTTAGAAAAGAAGTACTCAAAAAATATAAATACAAAATTATCCATCACAAATGTATATGAAAGTGATTTTTTTGAGTTGTATCGAGAGCTGACTCACATGGATCAACAAAGTTATCACTAACAACCAACACAAAACACTTCTAATTTCTCTGTCCCAAAACAATTGCCATCTCTAAAATGAATAGAGACATTGTATGCCCGTTTAAGTATAATATTCGATGATTTCTTTTTCAAGGTACAAAAAATGTTAAATGAAATTTAAAGAGACGGATTTTGAGGTAAATTTTTAGATGAAGCGTCCATAATAGGTATTGTGGCTTACGTCCCAAACAGTTAAGGATTCTGTTTGAAGCGCGGTTTTTTTATTTTGTTTTTACTGTGAGACTGTAAATAATAAAAAGGCCGGGAGAGTCAATATCAGATCTCAGATTTGAACTAAGCTACCTGATTTCCATATTTGTGTGTTAGCATTAACCCTGGGTTTCAAACAAGTGATATGTTGGTTCGTGTAGGTGAACACTCATGTTGAACTCTAGTGTGTGTCTGTGTTTCTAATTGTGTGCAGGCAGCTTTAGTAGTTGGAACTCAGCAGTTAACTATTGAGTGTATCGATAATATTATTTATTGGCGAACATTTTTTAAGGATTACACCTCAAAGCTCTCACCTCACCTCTCCTGAACAAATTGTATCCCCGACTAGTCTTTTAAAATTCTAGCTTGTTCACATGATAATTTATGGATTAAATTGTGTTGCAGATGAAATGCTCCTATTATGGGATTCAGCAGTTTCAAATCAAATTTTGTTGGAAATTTGTTACATAATAAGGCAGTCAGGCAGCAGGCAGTAAAGACTGAGCACAACTTTATGAGAAAACAGCATCTATTCCTATTGTTTTTATAAGCCGGCAGCCATAGCTCCAAACACAAAGACAATACAAAAAAAAAAAGCTAAACTCCAGGTGTAGCTTAAGAAATTGTTCCATAGCTGATGCTTTTGCTGGAAATAAAAAATTCATTTAGAAACAAAGACAAAAACTTTATGATCGCCCAATCCCAAAAAAGTGTTCCAACTTTACACGAAAACAGTGTCAAATTCAAGGCACACCTTTTGAGGAAAAATGAACATCTTTGAGGAAACAACCTTACCCAGCATCTACAGTTTCAGAAAGATTCGGAATTTCTGAATATAAAAAAAGGAAATAAGAAAGATCAGAGAAGCAAACCAAAGTCAAGTGAAGGAGCGGGCTGTGGAAGAGGTGACGGCGGATGGGCGGAGAGCTTAGAGTGGTCAACGGCGGTGATTTGGAGTGTGAGGGGAGATGGATTGACAAGTTTGGAGCCGATCACATGGCGTCCCTTCATATGTGTTTGTTGGCCTTTGTGCACCGAACCACACGAACCCATTCCTCTAATTTCCACAACCCTACCCACCCACCCTTCAAAGCGAAGAAGAAGAAGAAGAAAGAGATTTTGTAGAGAGAGGCGGATTTTTTGGGCCTTGAAAGTGAAGTTACAGTAATACTGTCTGTGTCTATGGACAGCAAGATGGGTGGGAGCCACGTCGCCCCTGGAAAAACTATGGAATATATTTGTGTACATTTTTTTGTACACATTATCCCGTTCGTATATTGTGTTATCACATTCAATCACTGTGTTCTCACATTCAAAATGATGTAGTTTTGTACAATTTTTAAACAAAAATCGTGTGAACAGTACACGTGTGAACAATAATTGTTTTTTTGTCCCTGTGGTATAAATGATGTCACTCGCGTATAAAGATTTGTAACTCACGTTATTGATCAATGTAACTCAAGTTCATTCGAAATGTAACTTATCAAATACATAGTATAAGAAATAAAACATTGATTTCAATGTAAACAATGAAAAAGAGAGTTTTAATTGCACAATTACTTTATGTAAACCGTGAATATGTTTGTTTTTTAATATTATGAAGGATTTAAAAAAAATCATTTTTTTGTTTGAATATCAAGGGTTGTTTTTTTATGTAACTCATGTTATTACAAATGTAACTCGCGCTTCAGAAGATGTAACTCACTTCTAAAAAGATGTAACTTTTGCACGTAAGATGTAACTCGCGTATAAGTATGATGTAACTTGTTGAAGAAAGTTGAATTCATGGTTATAAATATGTAACTTGAGATAAAAAGAAATGTAAATTGTGTTATTTGAAATGTAACTTTAGCAATAAGATATACTTCATACAAACTACAAAGTAAGCCCTACACCCTCTTCATCTCTTCTAGCAGCTAAAGATATACGGAGTAGGCTACACCAATACACCAACTTTATCTTGCTGGATATTGAAGGTTATGGAATTGAAGGTTGTCAAATTGGGCAAATTAGCCAAATCCATGATGTTTATCAAATTGAAGGGTCATAAATCGGCCAAATCGACCTTCCAGCAGTGGCCAAGCTTTGTCGCAACGCGAATCAGTCCGTCTTTGATATCTCTATCCCCGGCTGAAGTCCGTCCAGATGGGCGGCAACGCGACCAGTCCTTTTCTCTAACAAGTCCGTCCAGAGCAGCAAGCTACGCCGTCTCTGCCGTGTGACTTCGTCGTTGAGGAGCTCCGATCCAAATGGGCGGCAACTCCTGATAGCTCCCCTGGCCTGTTCATCCCTTGCCGCTGCTATGGAGTCTTTAATTTTTTAATAAACAAAACTACGCCGTTTTTGGGATCGGTACAACATGTAGATGGTGTGCCGATCCCACGGTATAATTTGCGCACATTATCCTACACACTTTGTAAGTTGTTTTTTTGTCTTTTAGGTAGCGTTTTTACAAACAAAACATGGCTTTGTTTGTTCAAAATGATGTGTATATAAAAATGCTTTCAATTTTTTATGTTACGGAGTAATTAATTATAGAGCAAAAGGAAAGGAAAGACGAGCTATCTATGCCATCCGCAACTAAACTAACTGAGAGTAGGGAGATGAAATGAGAAGTTAAAAATGTTTTCGTAGATGAAAGTGATGCTTTTTGCTAAAAATGCATCACATATGTGTGATAAAAAACCAAAATATGAATTTTAAGGTTTTGGTTTATCATTATGAGTGCTCTTCTCATCAGGCCGGCCTGACGGGATGCTCCGTCCGGCCGAGCCCATTTGGGCACCTTCCCGGTGGAATTTTTTGATGAAATTTTTTGAGCATGTTCCCCATCAAGTCTAGTTTGTCCATACCAAATTTCAGCTCAAAATTCGATCGGGAAGGCATTCAAATCATTTTTTGAAGTTGACTGCGTCAAAATATACATATAAAACTGCAGTCAACTTCAAAAAATGATTTGAATGCCTTCCCGATCGAATTTTGCGCTGAAATTTGGTATGGACAAACTAGACTTGATGAGGAACATGCTCAAAAAATTTCATCAAAAAATTCCATCGGGAAGGTGCCCAAACGGGCTCGGCCGGACGGAGCAGCCCGTCAGACCGGCCTGACATGAACATTCCTCTATCATTATTATCTCTCGCCCAACATTAGACTTTTAATTTCTTGCCCTCAACTTTATAATAATCAATAAATAAGTAAATTCAAAATTATTTTTGTGACTAAATTGTTGATTTTATTGGAGAGAACTACTTCGGCCTTTTCATATGATTTTTCTTTATTTAATACAACAACAACATCCAAGCCTTAGAGTACCAAAAGATATTGGGGTCGGCTAACATGAATCGATACATGATAACACCATCAAAAGGAAAAGAAAGAAAATAAAGATAAAAAATAAGCTATTATAAAAAAAGATAATATAAAACGGGATGAATATACTTAAAAATGATAAAATAAAAGGGATAAAAATAATGTTTATATATATAAGGATAAAAGAATAAAAACAAGAAGAAAAATATGAGAGGAAATAATAATAAAATGAGATCACTACTCCACACGAATACCTGCCCTCCACTTTGCTCACTCCAAAGTCATACTCTCATCCAACCTAATAAGAAGCATATCACTTCGGATTGTCCTAACCCACGTCTGTTTGGGTCTTCTTCTCCCTCTCTTCCATGCCTCTTCTCCACACATCTCAACGCGTCTGACAGGTGCATCATTCGGTCTTCTACGCACATGACCGAACCACCGTAGGCGAGACTCTTGCATCTTGTCTTCAATAGGTGCTACATCCACCCTTTGTCTGATTGTCTCATTTCTCACGTGGATTTTTATTTATTTAATAAATAAACTTATTTTATTTTTTTTAAATTTATTTTAGCAAATTCTACCAATTTCATTATATATCCAGGCATGCTCTAAATAAGGATAGTGATGGAGTATATACAATTCCAACGGTAAGAGCTAATTCACGGTGGGTTTGGTGTGCGCAAGAAAGTTAATATTTTAGCAGCTGGTGGATATATTCGACCCTGGGGTAGGTGGAATCTGGGGAAATAGAGAGGCTGAAATTGCTAAGTAGATTCAGTATGAATTCGCGCAGAGTAACGGCAAGTATGCGCTGAGAAATTAGAGTTCAATCTCTTTTTACAAGTTGGAAGGTGATATTTCTCTAATAATAATAATAAATAAAAACTTATAAAAGTGAATGAGAGTAAGAGTTCTTTGGGTATATGAAATGTGTTGGTGGTACAATAGAGCTAGATTGGATTGTACATTCATTTTAAAACATTGTACCCCTTAAATTATATTCTAACTTTTCTTCCTTTAGGACATGTTTACTTCACCGGTTATTAAACGGTGCTTATTAAGACCCGTGTTAATAAGCGGCGCATAAAATAAACAATGTTGTAAGACCGTGTTTACTTCAAACGGTTTAAAACACCGCTTAACATTAAAATGTCCAAAATAACCCTATACATATATATACACACAAACATTCATGAACACAAGTATATAATATAATATGTGTACCCATAACCCTAACCCCTTACCCACCCTACCTTACCCCGACCCCACCCACCGCCTACCCCCACCCTGACCCCACCCTACCTACCCCACCCCTACCCTACCTAACCGACCCCCCACCCTACCCCTTACCCCACCTACCCCGACCCCACCCCACCCCTACCCTTACCCCACCTACCCTACCCCACCCCGACCCCACCCTACCTTACCTAACCGACCCCCACCCTACCCTTACCCCCACCTACCCTGACCCCACCCTACCCCACCCCGACCCCACCCTACCTACAGTTGCATTTTACTATTTAACTCACTATTTAATATCAAAGTGACATTTTAGTTACATTTAAATATTAGTTTCATTTTAATATCTATAGATAATACATTTGAAAGATACAATCAGGGAAAGTTTTGCCATGTGTCATCTTCTAAGCAAACTTTCATTATAATATTTTAGATTTTCTTTCCATTTTAGTAAATAAATTATACTTCCGTTAATTAGTATTAAAGGTAGGTTACACTTCATCACGTCCTAAAGTTGGGTAAGTTAAAAATTAAATCTCAATTTTATTTTAAAGTGCTATAAATTTTTTATTTGTACTTTGATGGTTACAAAAAATATACCATATTTTATAACTTTTTATTATCTTTCATATGAGACCAATATTGAATATATAAAAATAAAAAAAAATAATTTTACAGTTTTTTATATCTATTTTGAAAAATAATTCAACACTTTAAGAAATATATATCTATTTAGAACTCCTAACCCTTATTCGTAGATTACAATTAGAATTCCTAATTCTCAAAAACTTATTTGTAGATTACAATTTAATTAATTACAATTAGGATTCCTTTTTTTTGCTCGATTCAATTAGGATTCCTAGAAATTAGGAATCCACGTTTGATTACAATTTAACAAAATTAGAATTCCTTGAAAGTCACAATTGATGTAAAAGCTTTCTAAAATGTCAACAACTACGTATTATTTATAGATAAAGAAAAAATTTATTAATTAAATAAAGAAAAACGTATGAAAATAGTTAAAAGGGAAAACTGTCAAATAGGCCCCCTACTAATACAGAAAAGTCAATTAAGCCCCTGAACTCAAAAAACATTCAATTAAGCCCACGAACTATAAAAAACGAGGCAAAACAGTCCTTTTAGCAGGTAATTAAGCGGTTAAAAAGAGATAAGGAAAAAAGGAAAGAAGGAAAAAAAGAGAAAAAGAAAATGTAAAAGCATGCCACATCATTTTGCCACACATGCAACTTAATCGGGAACAGTTAATATCCTGCTAATTAAAAGGACTGTTTTGCCTAGTTATATTTAGTTTGTGGGCTTAATTGGATGTTTTTTTAGTTCGGGGGCGCTTAATTGACTTTTTCGTATTAGTAGGAGGGGGCCTATTGACAGTTTTCCCTAGTTAAAATAATTCTTTACAATAACTTCAACTACTAGAAAAATTTGACTAATAAGTTTGATAAGTCAAAAAATAGAGTCATCAAACGGGCTCAATTGCAATCGGGAAGGCTTCTCCAAAACTTTCCAATTGCACTCAAAGTGCACTTTCTAAAAAAACATGTTCTTAAAAAACTGCAACGG